CGTTTTATTGGGATCAGCACAGTAACCCCGACCATTCCCATGTGACCAAACCCGCGGTGTTCTTTTGACATTTCGGGCTTCTTGATGGGCGTCTCATGGGGCAGCCAAGCCTGTGATCGGCAGAGCTGGGACATGTGCAGCAAACGCCTCTGTAGCGCTATCGATCCTCGATGATGGCCCTTTTATGATCACGCACGACCATTTTTCCTGCGAGTTAGCCTGTCCCTTCTTCGAGCGAAAGATAGTGCCTGCATCGCATCGTTTGGCCTGACGAAGAGAATGCCAGCGTCGGGTTTGATGTTCGTTCCAACCTTTGTTCAACCAGTATTCCATCGTCTTTGCGGGAATATACTGACGAGCCAATCCAGGTTTATTCCAGCCTTTTAAACGCTGCCCTTGGCCTTCTGGATATTCTTCTCCTCGATGTTGATCATCTTGAGGCGGGTTTCCCCGCAGACGTTCCCTCCTTGGGGGGGGGGGGGGGGGGGGGGGGGGGGCATGCGCTCTTGGCGCCTGCCCTGGCGGGCCACTTGGAGCCCCCGCCTCAGGGGGGCGAGGGCGCTGAACACCGCCCGAACGAGCACCGCTGGGGCGGGCTCGCACCCGATCTGGTGAGGGAGTAGGAGCTCGACCGCGACGCACCACGCGGTCATCATCTCCCTGTTTGTCCTCGTCGTCCATTGGCGAAAGACTTGGGTCGTCATGATATTTCTTCTTCCTGATCAAGGGTAGGCGGCTTGGCGCCCGCCCCGGACTGCTCGCGGACCGATCTGACGCAACAGAAGTATACTGAAATTCTTCATTATGCCCAAGCTCATATTGAATACGGTCAGATAGGTCACCAGCGTCGCGCGGGTTTCCCCGCAATGGATCATCATCGATCGATTCCGCGTTTGTCGGGTTTCCAATCGCCCGAGGATAAAGCATTGCATGTATTTCTTCATCGGTTGCAGGAATGGTAGAATCTGAGTCCGCGGGTGCCCCCGCCATGGCAAAATCACCTTCGACGGGCATGTGGAAGTTCTCGACCAGCTCAATATCTGCAGGTTGCCCCGCGATGGGTGCACCGAACCACTCTGCCAAATCGATGTCGTTGTGGCCAGCGAACACCACCTCGAACAACTCGTCGGCGTAATTCTCGAGGGTCATACTGGCACTTAGATACCTGGCAACCATGAAATGAATGACTTGGTCGGCCAGAAGTGACTCCCAACCAACGTACTGTATGTCGGAATCCGTTGGGCCAAATGTATTGACGGACCCCTGCCTCTTCCATCATCTTGGGGGCATTCGCGTCGGAAATGTTGTGTGCTGTGACATATGTCGCACTCCATGGTTTTACCGTTGGCATCCTTTGGCTTTCCTCGTCGCCCTTTACCTTTACCTGATGTATGCCTACGGCTTCTTCCAGCGCCTAGAAACAGTTCTCCATGCTGGTGCCCAGTGAGAGACGCTAGGGATGCTAATATATCTCTACCATGTAGTCGCCGACGCTTACCTTTGCCTGTACTTCGGCCCTTGCCTTTTTTCCTTTAAGTGTTCGCCGTGCCATGCGCGTTACCCTTCTGACTGGTTGCTTCGCGAATCTCCGCCGACGGCGCTTGAGTTTTGATAGCCCCAAAAAACCACTGAGCTTGCTGCTCTTCGGTAAAAGGTGTAGGCATATCAGAGTAGTCCAAGGCGGTAGCTTCATCATCAGAAGACGTATCGGTATCGGTGTCGGAGTCAAAGTCGGACTCGGCGGCTTGCCCCGCTGAGCCCATTCGGGTCATAGCCTGTACAGGGGAGACCGCCTCGGGCGGTCCCCTCGATCTGGCCCAGGGGTCTTGCGACCCCGAGGCCGCCCCGCCTCTCTGAGCCAACAGTGTAGTGTTCTCAGTCAGCGGTGTATCATCGTTCCAGACGTTGTTAGCAGGTTGCCCTGCATTGGCCTCTGTACGGAAGTCTCGGTTCGGTGACCGCGACTAAACAGACCACCGATATTGCCAGGGGTCCTCTCCGCTATGTGTGCATGAGACCTCGCGCGTTCGAGTGGAGCGTCAAATGGTGCTTGGTCCCTCGGCATGTGGTGGTTCAGAGGCTGCAAGAGCTGCTGTGTCCGCGACGTCCCCACTCCCAGAGCTCTGAATAATGTTACTGCTGGTATCTGGAAATTGGGGATGTTGAAGCCAGCGGCTTCGGCTTCGCAGCGGGCTATCTCGAACCGTGCTAACGTCTGGTCAATTCGTTATCCCGCATTGACACGAACGTCGATGAGAGCCGTGCCAGAGTTGAGTTGGCGTTCCTCTTCTAGGTTTTCGAACTTCGTATTTAAGAGGAACATGCTGTAGATGACGCCGCCGGTGTGGCGACCACCTATATTGACACCAAAGCTGAGGACTGCTGGGGGGAACTCTCATGGCTATGGTCCGTGCGAGCCCTCCAAGGCCACGCTGTAGTGCGGCGGCCTGCTGGGAGGGCGTCATGTTGCCTGTGGTCAGATTAATCCAGGCGTGTACCTCGCGGACAAACTCGCGAAATGGTACTTGGCCGGCAGGGTCCCATTGGGGGCCAGTCGTCCTAGCGTCGTCTCCGCCCCGCATATGTCCCACCGCACATCCACGAGCGACCCATATGAGCCCAAAGATAGTAACCCCAATCCAATGGCCTCGTAGGTCGTAGTCGGGTGTAGTCGGTGGAAACTTGTGTTTTGTCGTCGTAAGTCTGCGCGGGGTCGGAGGCGGCAGTATATCGTATCGCATGCTTCCATGCATTATGTCTTCGAATAAATTTCCAAGTGGAGTAGGTGGTGGACTTCAAGAGTGTAATAGCGCAGGGATGTAGGATATGAGTAAGAAGCCTCCGCTGGAGCAGAAGTGTCACTGCAAGTTTCCTTGCGATGCTGCGTAGCTATGTACACTCCTCCGCGCAATGCCACTGCACCCTGATGTTCCACTGTATCTGTAGTCCACCAGATAGTGCCGTGGATGGTGAGGAGTAGAGCAAGAGCTGACTACCACAGGCCAGCTCCGCTACCAAGTTTGAAGGGGGCTGGAAGGCCCAGCCAACAACTTCGCCTCAGGCGAAGCCAAGCTCCCGCTCTGCTGTACCGTATTAGCGATAGTCCCAGTACAAGAGGAAATTCCATCTCAAGCAGGAGGGGATACCTTTTGGTCTCGATAGCGATTGTGTGCCTCGCGGTGAAGCACAATCAAACCTGGGCGGTCGGCCGCTTGAGCCAAGGCGGCGTCGGGCGCACGCTCGCTTCCACTCCTTGCGTCCCCCAGCCCGCTTTAGAGTTGCCCACGCACCCCAACTTTGCTCGGGGGACATCGCGGGGTGAAGAAAAGCCGCAAGACGCAGCAAAACTGCCCCAAGATGCCCCCAAAACGGTCCTCGAATCGCCGAAGTGTCGGTCCAAGTCACCAAAGTGGCCTTCAGACGGCTCACAAGGTTTCCAAAACGCTCCAAGAGGCCTCCCAGAGGACTTCCAAGAGGGTCCCAGGGGCAAAAATCATAGATTCCCCGTGAATGTTTGAAAGATTTCGGCATTCTCGGCTTGTCAGCTTCCCGACGCTCCAAGACAGGCCAAGAAGCCCCCAAGACCGCCCGAAAGTGGCCAAGAGGCCTCCAAGAGAGCGCCCCAAAACCGACCAAGAGACCTCCAAGACAGCCGAAGAGGCCACCAAGACGGCTTCAAGGAGGAGCCCAGACGCCTGAGAAGCTTTCAGGAGGCCCCCAGAGGTCCCTAAGAAACCCCCCAACAAGCCCCCAAGCGACCCCCAGAAAGCCCCAAGAGGCTCCCACGAGGCTTCCAAGCGGCCCCCACGAGTTTCCCACGAGGCCCCCAAACTACCCCCAAGAGGCCCCCGAGAGCGCTCTTCGTCGTCGTCGTCGTCGCCATTCAGGGTCGGCGGCACCGGCCGCAAGGCCTTCGCAACGAAAAGAAGTCCAAACAGATAGACTATGTTTGATCATTCCTCCTGTATCGGGGAGACGTAAGACCCGGGTACGGGAGACTCGGAAATCCCCGACGAGGTCGTCAAAAAAAAATGACGAGGCCGAGCCTGCCGTTTGACGAGGCCTCCCGCTGCAGACATCCCACGAAACTCCTCCTCGTCAAAATCCGAGGCGCGGTCGTCAAAAAACGATGGCGAACCCGAGTCCTGGCAAACCCGGGTCTTACGCTCCCCCGATAGAGGGAGAGGCCCGACTTAAACCAAGCCCCTCAGCGCCGAACACCTCCGCACCGCGCCCCCTCGGTGCTCTCAGACGGGCGCCTGCGGCACCGGGGAAGGCCCAGAGCCCGCACGCGAGGGAGCAGGGCAGGGGGGGAGGGCGAAGAGCAGGAACATTGCCGGGGAGAGAGGGGCAGCGACGGAGGAGGACAACCCTGGCGGGCGGCAAAAGGGAGGAAGAGGAGGGAAGGGGGAGGGGGGAGAACGGGGAGGCAGGAGAACGGCAGGGAGGAGGTAGATGGACGGGAATAGGATCTCCTCGTCGTCCTCCTCCTCCTCCCCCTCCTCCTCCTCCTCCTCCTCCTCCTCCACCTCCACCTCCGTTTCCACCCGAGCGTCCTTTAGAACACCCCAGCTAGAACCTCCCTCGTCTCCGCATCCTCTCACACTTTTGTCCATGGCGCCGACCTCCCTCTGGGCCTACCCCCGAGCACGCAACACAGAAACAGCGGCCCGTGGCGTCTCGCTCGCCGATGCCCGGGCGGCACCGACTGTCAGAGAGGGGCCGATTTGAGACATCGGCGGCAATCAAATGAGCGAGGAGAAGAGCGGAGGCCGCTCAAACGGGGGCCTGAGCACACGTGGTCGGAGACTCGCACGGCATCGGCGGTGCATCGGCGACATCGGGATGGAGAAGGTCTGGCTCCGGATCGCGCCGCACCGTCGATGCATCGGCGATCCTCAGATCCCGTCTGCTCCGACCCCCTTGGGGCGGCCCTGGGAGAGGGCGGAGAGGGAGGACGACGACGTGCCTGCCCTGGAAGAGTCGGGCGCAGTCCAAGCCTTGCCACTGCGGCGACGCGGTTGGGGAAGGTCCCGCAGTGGTTGGCGACGGCCCTGGCATGGAGAGAGAGAAGCCGTCCAGAGGCACTGACTGGGTCGGACGGAGGGGGCAGGGTAGCAAGTGAGCTTAGTTTAACTGACCCCTATCCCCATGGGCGTGGCCCAAGCCCGACTGGCCGATTTACCCTCCTCGATGGGGATGTAGGCTGTCCTTGGGATTTCGAGGGGTATATCGCCAACTGGGGCGCTGAGATGGTGGGGACGGGGACGGGGACAAAGCTTAATGGGCCCCAGAAACGACAGGGCCGTTTCTTCACCGTTTCCGAAAAAGAGCTTCCTGAAAATGGAAGCGGTAAAGAAGCGGTGACCAGAAACGGTGACCAAAAAAGGCAATGGAAACGAGAAAGAAACGGCAGCGGAAACGGCACTCGGCGAGGGCAGAAAAGACGAAACAGCGGCGACCAAAAAGACGACAAAGAAACGGCAACCAGCTGTGTACGTTCCACGGCACGGACTCCTTGACGGAAATTGACACGGACAAAGAAACGGCGACGGACACGGCCACGGAACGGCGCCGGCAACGGCACAGAAGCGGGCAAGCGGACAAGCGGCAAAGAAATTGAAACGGCCCGGTCGCTTCCGGGACCCGCTGAGGGCTAGGGGTCGGCGAAGTGCTACTCGGGGGCGCGCAAGCACGGATTGGCGATCCATGACTTTGGCGCGCGGTCGCCAAATCCATGGATCGGGGGAGGTGACCTCCCCAAAATGCGGCTGGTGCCGCCTCGCTCGGCGGCGGAAATCCGCGATGTCCCATGGAAACGGGACCCGTCGCCAGTCCACGCCCCCTTGACCCATGTTTGCGATCGCCTGGATTGAAGGGGCCCTGGGACACACAAATAAATACACACAAATGAACAGATTCACCATATTTTCGCATATTTTCTTGGGTTGCTTTGTCTCCCCCCCTTCCCATATTTTCCCACACTCTCCTGGGAGAGGACGATTCCTTGTGTCTGCGTGCTTTTTCCCCTCCTGATGGATAGGGGTCGGCGGAATGATGCTGCGCAGAGGGGGGGGTCAGCGGGTCAGCGCACGCAGCTGGCTCCCGGCGCCAGGGAGCAAAAGTGCGTCGAGGGGAGTGCCCAACGGCGGGGGCGCCACCCGCGGCATGCCGCAGATTTCAACCGCCCTCGTGCGGGTGGCAGTGTTGCGTCGGGCATGTCCCTCTACATGAAGAATGCTCAAACATGGTCAGCAAACAAATGACGGGATAATTACAAGAATGTGGGGACGACACTTCAACTATTGTTGACTATGCCGGAGCATCTCTTTCACTGTTTTTAATGATTCGCCCCCTGGCAGTGGGGGGTGACCCACATGGGGGGTGAAGAGAAAGCCCCTCAAGGGGCCCTTTGGGGCCCCTTGAGGGGCACCGGCTGGCTCCCAACAGGGGCCCTCAAGCCCGAAAGGGCCCCTTTAAGGGCCCTTTTCTTCACCTCCCATGTGGGTCTCCCCGCCTTACCACCCGCCCGACGCCCTTCCTTCCTCCACCTTCGGTCCGACTCGAGTCCCGTGGGGCCTTTAAAGAAAGAATGGCCCGTGGCGAAAAGCTGGTCCCAGGGTAGCAGCATGCAAAGGCGACACCAACACCACCAGGGCGAGGAGATGCGAGGAGGCAATGGGGGGTCTCCCTCGTGGTGTGGTCCCCCCCCCTCTCGCTCGAGACATCCTCAGCCTCCAGCTCGAGGAGGCATCGTGGACCTCCTCGCTGGAGGTGGGCCTCCTGGTGGTGTTGGTATTCGGAGGCGTTCGCTGACGAAACACGGATAAGGGTATACTTTCTGGCCGCCCTATGTGCAGGCACCCCCGACGCAACAGTCATCGTCCGTTACAGTCATCGTGGCACCATGAAGAAGGCTAACTACAGTCAACCCGCATAGTAAGGATGAACGACTTTTTCAAGATTGCCCTTGCATCACTTCCCCTTCGGCCCATTCTTAGCGATTTTCGCTGGCCAGCCTCGTTCGACCAAGGCTCTTGCATCCTTCCCGCGCATCCTTATGAGTTATGGATTGACTGTAGGCTTAGGTCGGGCAAGTCCCCCTACAGGAGGACTTTGAACGAAACTTTAAGAATAGGCCAAGGATATTCAAGAACAGCAAAACATAGTAAAACAACGAATCGTCCCCCGACTTTTTTTACTATTTGTGACTACTCCTCCTGCAGAGGGACACGCCCGACTCAACTGTAGGCAACGAAAGGACTTCTGAGGCCACGGCGAGACTCAGCCACGAATGGGCCCCACAGCCCAAGTTCGAGGAGCGGCTCGGAAACCAAAGGCCCTCCAGAGCCCAAAGTGATCCTTACTGCTGCGCCTCGATTTGCGCGCACAAGGGTGGCAGAGGGAGGGGGGAAGGCTTCTTAGAATAGCAAGAGTTAAGTCGGGCGTGTCCCCCTACAGGGGGATTTTCGACGAAAAATAAAAAAATACCAAAAATACTCCCAAATGGTAAAGAAATGTTCAAAGATATAGTCCCCATACTCTTTTTGACTATTTTGGAATATTCCTCCTGTAGAGGGACGGGCCCGACTTAAAGCGTGAGAGAAACCGCCATCAACATGAACTGTTGGCGCTCCGCACGGATTTCTTGGATCTGCGCTGAAACCCCTCCCTGGCGCGCGCGAAGCGCACCAAGGTGTCGGCGCCGGGGGCGCCGCCAGGGGGGGGGGGCCCACCGCGGATACAAGAAATCCGCGCGGAGCGCCAAAAGTTTATGTTTATGGTGTTGTTCCTTCGACACAAGGGGGCAGAGGGAGGGGGGAAGGCTCCTAAGAAGGAGGCTGCTTCTACAAGGGCGCCGGCCTGATATCTACAGACAAGGCCGGCGCCTTTTGAGAAGCAGGGGCGCTCCTAAATCGCCTTCCCCCCTTCCCCTGCCTCCCTCTGCGCGTGGCCGCTGGACTGCATCGTTCACCGCTCTTCGTCCGATCCTTCGGACCGAGCACAGTTCTTGGGTTAGGTCGGGCATGTCCTCCTACATGCGGATCTCGGAAGACAACTGAAAAATTGTCAAACTTGTCAGCAATCAGAGTGAGGGGGCCGAACGGTCATTCTTTGTCCCTGGGTCCGTGGCTGAATAGGGAATTCGTGGTGAGAAGTCTGCTTGTTGTGTTGCTGTTATTGCTGTTGCTGGTGGTGCTGTTGCTGTTATTGCTGTTGCTGTTGCTGTTATTGTTGTTGTTGTTGTTGTTGCTTGTTGTCGTGGTCCCACCAACGACCCACCCGCGACCAAATCCGCGACCCACTCCGCGACCAACCCGCGACCCACCCCGCGACCCACCCGCGGCCCACCCCGCGACCCACCCGCGACCCACTCCGCGACCCACCCGCGACCCACCCGCGACCCACCCGCGACCCACCCGCGACCCATCCGCGATCCAACCGCGACCCACCCTGCGACCCACCCCGCGACCCACCCGCGAACCACTCCGCGACCCGCCCTCAAGGGAGAAAAGAACCACCCGGACCCGACAATTAATGTTTACTAAACGGCCCTGGGCGTTTGCTAAGCAGCCCTGCCCTGTTCGATTCATTCTTGTGTGCGTTTACTAAACGGCTTCGCTTGTCGGGGTGATTTTGAGGTGAATTTTCTGCCCTCTATACCCGCGACCCACCCGCGATCCACCTGCGACCAGCCCGCGACCCATTTGCGACCCATCCGCGACCTACCCACATTGGTTTAACGAAAAAATCGGCGCCTGCGGCGGACTCATTGTATAATTTGTGAAACTTTGGCGCCTGCGGCGGGCTTCTCCAGAGTCTCGCAAACTGCCGACGTCACCACCGCCCCCTCACTCTTATCCGCATCTGCGGGGTGCTACGGTATTATTGTTTTAACTATTTTTGAATTCAGCGGAGGCCAATCCACAAGAAACCTGCCACAAGAAACCCAACCCTGAGACCCCAGGACGTCCATCGATTTCTGGCCTGGGAACGCCACGCTTTCCAGAGCAAAACCACTGGAGCCCAAGAAACCCAGGGCACCCTGGAGGCGAGCAAGGTGTTTCTTGACCTGGCCCCCCCCGCTGTTTGAGCAGGGACCGACCGTCCCGGCATTCCTATAGTCCTACCACGAAGCGTTCTTAGAACCCCAAACTGTTCTAATGATAAAAACAACGTTCCTAGAAAATAAGCCCGATGTGTTCAAACAAGACAGTCCCAGCCAGAACAGTGTTCTGAGAACATTCTTTGGTGGGGCCATAGGCACGCCGGGACGCTTCGTCACTGCTTGAGCTGCACTCCTCCTTTGGAGGGACATGCCCGACCTGACTCTTGGGCCTCTGGCCCTGGCCCGGAGCCAACACCCGCCAGGACGTGGGCCCCGACATCTGTGAAGGGGCCCCAGGACACACAAATAAATACACACAAACAAAACTATTCCCCAACTTTCCAGATATTTTGGGGGATTTCGTCTTCCCCCCCATTTCCCATGTTTTCCCATATTTTAGGGGGAATCGACGATGAATTGTGTCTGTGTGTTTCCCCTCCTGAATCTGGGTTTGTGGAGGCCTCTCTTGGCCGTGGCCGCCAGCCTCTTCGCCCTCCGCCCGGCCTGCGGCACTCCCGGCGACCCCCAGCGAGGCCGGCGAGCAGCCGCTCGCGGTCGTCGCAGTCCCGAGGGATGCCACCGACCTCGCAGTGGGCGGAGGTCGGGGAGGAGAGAATCAGTGTCACGCCGCCGCAGGGGCCCCAGGACCCCATCGGCGTGTTACTCCCTCGCTCTTCGGCCGAATAAGACAGCGCACATCCACAAGAACACGCCGAGGGGGCCCTGGGGACCTCCGCGCGGCGTGACACTGATACTCTTTCGCCCCCCCCCGAAAAAGGGCACTACCCCAATCCAACCCGAAGACCCCATTTCGAGTGTGGGGGGGGGGGGGGTACGGGTTCCACGCGTCTTTTCAATGTTCCCCGACGCCCCCCCCCACTGGAGATGGAGGGCGAATCGGGGCCTTCGGGTTGGGTTGGGGTGGCTTGGTGGACGATGGCAACGCGAGGGATGTAACCGACCTCGCCGTGGGCGAAGGGACCGCCGCAGTTGTCGCGACCCCGAAGGATGCCGCCGACCTCGCGGTGGGCGAAGCGGCCGCCTCCCGGAAGGGGGGTCGGAGGCAGGATGCGAGGGGTGCTGCTCGGAACGAACTCCGAGGACCGCCGTTGCAACTGTCAGCGTCGGTGTTGGCAGCACGCCGAGGGGTATCACTATGGCCATCTTCGAGCACACATGTACACACCCACACACCCACGTACGAACCCACCACACCCACACCCACACCCGCACCCGCACCCGCACCCGCACCCGCACCCACACCCACACCCACACCCACACCCACACCCACACCCGCACCCGCACCCACACCCACACCCACACCCGCACCCACACCCACACCCGCACCCACACCCGCACCCGCACCCACATCCTTGTTCCTCAATCTTATATACCCCCACCTACCTTGTATTCCGGCCGATAGCGACCCAATCCGGGACCTCCCATCTGGACTATTAAAAATCAATGCAAAGTGGCCGTTTTCCTTCTCAACATCGTCTGTTTTGTCGTCGACGATGCGAAAAGCGTGGCAGGAATGGGACGCGGAGCGCATCGCGCGCGGCAGTGAATCTGGGCCCGCCCACCCTGATTGTAAACAATCAGTACAGAGTCTTCGCTTTTTCCTCTCAGCATGGCTTGCCTTGTCGCCGACGGTGCGAAATATGTGGCAGGAGTGGGACGCGGCGCACATCGCGCGCGGACGTCCATGCGGGGTGCGGGCCCTTCCATCCTGACTAGTGCTACTAGTACCATTGGTACGACTACTACTACTACTACTACTACTACTACTACTACAAATACGACTACTACTACTACTACTCCTGCTACTACTTGTTCTGCAACTTGTACTACCAATGGCATTACTACTAGTCTAGCAATCGTACAAGTATTGCTAGCACTTCTACTACCATAGTGCTACTACTCTGTACTACTACTCGTATGAGTAATTGTACTACCTGTAGTACCTCTGTTTAGACTACTCGCATTATGAATCGTACTACTCGTACTACTACTTATTCGTTTCCCCACTCTACCACTACTACTACTACTACTACTACTACTACTACTGCTACTACTGCTACTAGTACTACTACTACGACTACGACTACGACTATTACTACTACTACTACTACTACTACTACTACTACTACTACTACTACCACTACCACTACCATTACCACTACCACTACCACTACCACTACCACTACCACTACCACTACCACTACCACTACCAGTACTACTACTACTTCAACTACTACAACTACAACAACAAGTACTACTACAACTACTACTACTACCACTACTACTACTACTACTACTACTACTACTACTGCTACTACTACTACTACTACTACTACTACTGCCCCTACTACCACTACTACTACTACTACTACTACTACTACTACTACTACTACTACGACTACGACTACTACTGTTACTACTACCACTACGCGCCAGCACCCAGTTGCGCCAACATTGTTTCTTATGTTGTGGGAGGGCGGAACGTGCCCGTTGTTCCTTTCAACATGGCCAGTCTTGTCGTCGACGATGCGAAATGCATGGCGGGAATGGAACGCGGCGCACATCCCGCGCGGACGTCCATGCGGTGTCCTGGGGTATCCTCCAACTGCACTTAAATGCCAGCGCAGCCCCCAGTTGTGTCATCACTGTTTCTTATGTTGTGGGAGGGCGGGTGGGAATGGGCATGCCATGCTTGACTCGCTCGAGCTGGCTAGCTTGACCTACACCCACACCCACACCCACAATCACACACAACCACACACACAACCACACACACAACCACACACAACAATACACAAACACACGCCCACACCCACAACCACACACAACCACACACATAACCACACACAGAACCACACACAACCACACACACAACCACACACAACCACACACACACAACCACAGCCACCACTCACCACCCACCACTTCCCACCCACCACCCACCACCCCCCACCCGCCACCCACCACCCACCACCCACCACCCGCCAGCCCCCACCCGCCACCCACCACCACCCACCCACCACCCACCCACCCACCACACCACCTCCACCCACCACCCACCACCCACCACCCACCACCCACCACCCACCACCCACCAACACGTCACCCCCCACCCCCACCACCCCCACCCCCCACCCCCCACCCACAACCCCCCCCCACAACCCCCCACCCCCCCATACCCCAACCCCCACCCCCCACACACGCCACACCACACACAAACACAAAACACAAAACACACAACACAAAACACACAACACACAGCACACAACACACAACATACAACACACATGCACACACGCGCGCGCGCACGCCCGCCCGCCCTCACGCCCGCCCGCCCGCCCCCACACACACACACACATACCACATACACACACACACACAACACACGCACGCACGCACGCACCACACACACGCACGCACGCACGCACGCACACACACGCACAACCACACGCACACACACGCGCACGCACACGCTCACACACGCACACACACGCACACACACACACACACACACGCACTCACACGCACACACACACGCACACACGCGCACACACGCGCACACACGCGCACACACGCGCACACACAGACACACGCACACGCACACGCATACGCACACACAGAGACAGAGATAGAGACAGAGACAGAGACAGAGACAGCGACAGAGACACAGACACAAACACAGACACAGACACAGACACACACACACACACACGCACGAACGCACGCACAAACGCACGCACACACACGCACACACGCACACACGCACACGCACACGCGCACACGCACACACGCGCACGCACACACGCACACACACAGGCACACACTCGCACACACAGACCCACAGGCACACAGACACACAGGCACACATATTCACAGGCACACAGGCACACAGGCACACCGACACACAGACACACAGGCACACAGACACACAGACGCACAGCCACACAGACAGACAGACACACAGACACGCAGACAGACACACACACACTTTCTGCGCTGGCGGCTAGGCAGAGTAAGTGGACACACGCACACACATGCACGCACGCACACACACACACACTCTGTCACTCGCACACACACACACACACACGCACACGCACACGCACACGGGCACACGCGCACGCGCACACACGCGCACACGAGCACACGCGAACACGCGCACACGCGCACACGCACACACGCGCACACACACACACGAACACGCGCACATGCGCACACGCGTGCACGCGCACACGCGGACACGCTAGCACGCGCACATGTGCACACGCGTGCACGCGCACACGCGCACACGCGCGCACGCACACGCACGCACGCGCACACACGCACACACGCACACACGCACACACGCGCGCACGCACGCACACACGCACACACACGCACGCACGCACACACACGTACGCACACGCACGCACACACGCGCACCGCACACACACACACACACACCACACACACACACACACACGCACACACACACACCACACACACACACACGCACACACACACGCAAACACACACACACACACACGCAACACACACACACACGCACACACACACCCGCACACACACACAACCCCTTCCCCCCCCCCCCCCTACGCACACACACACACACACGCACACACACACACACACACGCACACACAGACACACACACGCACACACACACACACGCACACACACACACGCACGCACACACAGACACCAACACACAAACACACAAACACACAAACACCCCAACACCCCAACACGCAAAGCACAAACACACAACACACACAACCACACAACCACACAAACACACAAACATACAATCACCCAACACGCGCACAAACACACAACCACATAGATACAAAAACACACAAACACATGCATACACAAACACACAACCACACAACCACACAAACACACCAACCAAGCAACCCAGAAACCCACAAACACACAAACACACAACCACACAAACACACAAACATACAATCACCCAACACGCGCACAAACACACAACCACATAGACACAAAAACACACAAACACACAAACACATAACCACACAACCACACAAACACACCAACCAAGCAACCCAGAAACCCAGAAACACACAAACACACAACCACACAAACACACAAACATACAATCACCCAACACGCGCACAAACACACAACCACATAGACACAAAAACACACAACCACATAGTACACAAACACACCAACACACCAACACACACAAACACACATACACACACAAACACACACACACACGCACACACACACACACACCCGCACACACACGCACACACACGCACACACACGCACACACACACACACACACGCACACACACACGCACACACACACGCACACACACTCACACACACACACGCACGCGCACGAGCACGCACGCGCACACGCACACACACGCACACGCACGCACACGCACACGCACACACACGCACACGCACGCACACGCACACACGCAAACACGCAAACACGCAAACACACAAACACACAAACACGCAAACACAAACACGCAAACACACAAACACACGAACAAACACAGCCACACAGCCACACACAGCCACACAGCCACATAGCCACACAGCCACACAGCCACACACCCACACCCACACACCCACACACACACGCACACCCACACTTCCACACTTCCACACTTCCACACTTCCACACTTCCACACCCACACACCCACACACCCACCCACACACCCACCCACACACACACACACACCCACACACAGAGACACACACACACACATCGACACACACCCACACACACACACACCCACACAAACCCACACAAACCGACACCCTCACCCACACCCACACCCCCGCACCCACACCCACACCCACACTTACACTCACACACAAACTCCAGTCAGTAGGCCTACACAGAGAGAAGGGTCAAGCTTGCGGGCAGCAAGGAACGCATGCCTGGCATCACCAATAGGTGTCCCCCTGCTTCCTCCAATCCATCCTCGGCAACATCGGACCTGGCTAACCAGTTCCAGCTGATTCGAGACAAGGCCCCCCGAAGCCACGAGCCTCTGCCCCGGGATGGCTCTGCATCCCGTGACGTCATCTGACGGCGGCGAGGGCCCCCAGAGTCCGAAAACGGCGAACAACATCCATGCTGATTTGTGCA